ATTTTTTTGTCTTGTTTGGTTTGGTTTTGTTTTTGTGCTCCTCATCCTGTGATTTCACATATTACTGAATCATCAGCTCAGAATCAAAGAAACTGCTTCATGTGAGTCTATCAGGTGTGTGTATGGGGGGGGTAATTTGTGTTTATTGCTCATAGTCTTCTCTAAGAGCAGTAACTTCTTCATTGGTGGGGGAAAAAATGAAGACTTAAAACACACAGCTTTGAGAGAAAAATTTTAGTTTGGTCCATACCTGGACAGATTTGAGCTCAGAACTGGCTGACTTTCAGGCAGAAGCCTGTGAGAGGGAATATGGAGCAAAGCTGCTCACTGTGTGATGGATAAAGTGGAGCTTGGGGAGAAGTAGCCTAGAGGCCGTGGTCAGGGACCAGGCACAGGCCTCGGTCACTCCTCCATGACTCCCCCTACACACAACTAGCTATGTGCTTTAATGACTATAAAAGCAATAAAGGATTAACTGCTATTGCTTCCTTGTATTCTGATATGCTTTTTGTTTCGTTGCATTTTTGTTTGTTTGTTTTTAATTTATTTCTCATGTTCAGCTTGGGTTAAAAACTGGTCCAGTCAGAAAGTCAGGATATTCACATGGTGCCAGTCATTTACTCCTGTTCTTTATAGATCAGAGTCCTGAGCTGCTGCTTACCAAATATCTTATGAGAATTATTACCTACAGTTGTCCTTTTTTCTAATGATTGGCATCCAGTACTAGGGAAATTATTGGGCTAATTAGCCCATCATGGCTAGAAGCAAAAGTCCACAACTGAGAATGACTGGCTTAATGAATGCCCACAGCCTGTTACTATTTCCCATAAAAAAGAAGTGGGATCCCAATCCTTACTGTTTAGAGATAGATAACTTTTTTTTACATGGTTGGGGCATGAGAGTGTGATCTGAAGTATTTAAGAATCATAGTCATTGTAGGAATAGCACTTTTATGGCAAAGATATTAGCATCAACTTTATACATTAACTTCAATGAAGATAGGAAAATAAGAAATTGGATGAAAATGCAAAGAATCAAAGCCTATAAAAACATGCATGATTAATTTAAGGAATATTGCTAGAATCTTAAAAGACATTTGGATAGTAAACAGTTTGATAGGTATTTAAGATTTAAAAATTCTCTTAAAGAAAATGCTCAATACTTTGAACATTTACAAGATAGCTCTGTAACATTTTGGTTAATTGTGCTGTGTACACAGAGCTCATGTGAAAAGCCAAATCTAGGTATTGTGTAAAGAGGGCTACTATAAATCTCAAGTACTCAGTTAATATTTACTGCATCAAGTCATGACCAGGAAGGAAGATATGCCTTTTCTTCCCTTTAGGTCAGGTTTGAACTTGAGTTGACTCAGGCAAATTTTGAATGTGTCAGTTTCAAGGCTTTAGGTATGCCTGGGAACAGTATTTCAGCAAGCTACAAGAGGATAGGACACAGGAAGAAGGTCATAACAACGAAGAGAGATTATTCAGTGCCTTAAAGTATATATATATATAAATATATATAAATATATATATAATTTTATATATACATATACTTTTATATATATATTAAATGATATAGAAACTTAAAAGCCTAATAGAGAACAGACATATTTTATCTTTTGCTTATTTTAAAAATTTTTTTATATAGAGGAAAAAAAGCAAAACAGAAAAAAAGGTAGAAATAATACAGAATTGTTGTTAAAAAGTAAGAAATCACAAGTTGATAAATTACATATTGTTATCTTTGATGTTATAAAATCAAAGCATAAAAAGTAGACAATCAAACAGTGACAGTACAAGCCATTCTGTTTGATGAACTAACAAAAACTTTTAAGTACGGTTATCTATCTTGCACACTTAAACATTCATACAGTTATATCCTTTAGAGCACTTTCACTTTCATTGTCACAATATCATAATTTTGGATCTTTTAGACTGTTTAGGTAACATTTGTATAACTGGGTATCTATGGTGGACTGCATATGGCTTTTTCTTTTTTTCTTTCTTTCTTTAATTTATTTATTTATTTGCACATGTATTTAATATGATTTTCCCAGGTGGAATTATTCTAGCAATGCCTACATAAATGGATAATCTACTACTGCTACCTAGAAAAATAATGGAACATTAAAAACATGGTTGCCAACAGATATGTATGAGCTCTGCCTCTGTGCTCACTGCTTAAAGACTACAGTGATTAAATCACAGACTTCAGAGATAAAATTTCTGAGTTCAGGTGCTTCTTAGCAGTATGACTTATGCTTTTGCAAGTTTTTAAACCATTTTTGGACCAAATGTTATCAAAAAATAAGTGTAGTGGTGATAATGTCTCACTGTATAGACTCAGAACTAGTCTTTAATTTACTGTACAGATTAAATGAGTCAACACGTTAAATCATTATAAGATTGCTTAAGTCCTGTAAATGAGGATACTAATAATCATAATAGTTTTTCAGATTCAGTGAAGATACTAAATGAAGTTTAATTATCAACTACCCATTTCCATGCCAAATACACGGTAGATGTTTAATAATTAGAATTATTATTGATCAGAGTCATTGATCAGAGTCAGTCAAAAAATACAGGATATTCAACCATCAGGATCAGATGCTTCCATTATTTATAACTAAGTGGTCTGATTCTTAAAATATAACAAAATTTAAATTACTTAAAATTACTATTGACTTTAAATCAGTACAATATCTCAACCTACAGATCTATCACACATAAAAAGCTATTTCTTATCATGGAATGCATTGTTTTTAAAGACAACTTAAAATTACATCATAATTGAGTAATCTTCCATAAATTTTAATTTTACTTTTTAAAATACCAATAATTTGAACTAATTATAATTTAGACACTCATAGTATATTTTCAAGCCCTGGCATCATACCAAGTGTTTACTCTAAGATGACTGGGCTCTGTATCATCAAGTTCTAATATTTCTATAATTTCATGGAAATCTGATAATCAGTGGCTATTTTAATTTTCCTGGTGGATTTAAACATTAATCATCTGAATTAGCATTCTCAATTAGGAGAGACCCATCTCAAAGACTGGAACACACTGGAATCAAGAAGGAATATTCAAAGGCAAATGGAGCTTCAGGCATGGTTAAATCCAGTGTCCTCTGTGATCTTGTGAGGGCTCAATTTTCTCTATCTTGGATCTGCTTTCCTCTGTGGGTAGATTTTATTCTCTGACACACTGTCTTTATGGTCTAGGAAAGATAGCTTCTACAAGCTTTAGGACTTGATCTTCATAATCAACGGTAGATCTACTTTTGTTGTAAAGTATCAGTGCATCAAATTTCAAGTGCATGGCAATTATGAGCTCATTAGCTTCTCCAGGGAAACAGAGCTCAATGCAGCCAATTTTAGTTGTGAGCCCAAATCTGACTTTGGGTAAGATGGGTATTAGAACTGACAACTCCAGCTCAATTCATGGAGACCATCAGTGGTACACTCCCAAAGGAACAGCCTATAATGCGCTAATATGGGAGGCACGGTAGGAATGCTGAAAGTATTACAGGATAAGAGAAAGATGTATGAATTTTCAGACAGGGCTTGTCTAGAAACTGTAAAGCATGGTACAGGCTTTTTGTCTGTTCAGTACCTCAAGGCCAATTTGTTCTGATTCAGAGGTTAAGAAGGGCCCTTATATTTTTTAAAAGGCTGTATAAAAATATGATGGGGGATTCATTTTATCTGAAGAATAACTTTTACATAGCAGAAATTTGCCTTAAAATTGTTTTATGCTCCTACTCATATAGAAGGATAAGGATCTTCAGACAGCTATTGAAGGTGTCAGAGCAATCCAGGTCTTCCAGTTACACATGGGTCATGCCAGAGGAAAGGATCCTAGGAGATAGATCTTGTCTCTAGGCATCACTGGCTTGCATGCCTAAATTAAATGACAGAAAGACAAGAGTGGCAATTCCATTCCATCCTTCACAGACTCTGTACTCAGGAAAGAAGTGTGTAAAATCACTGTGGTCTGGGAAGAAAGAAATGGGGCATTTGGTCTCCTTTGGTCCTGAGATCAGACATTACTTTGGGTATCCAGTCTGTGCATCCAAAGTGGTCACTAAGAGCTCAGAGGGGTCCCAAGGGAGTCTCTGTGAATTAAGTATGTTTGACAAGATGATCATTAACAGAACCAGAATTAAGGTCAGAATTAAGATCATTCACAGCTCAGAATTAAGAGACAGAAGTGCCAGGGAAAAAAGATGAGGAAAGGAACCTAAAGAAGCTGGAAAAAGGCAGTACCTTTATTTTTTATTAGCACGTTTGCAGTACATAATGTTCACATTTCTTGTATAGAGTTGGTACATGTGCATAACACATCCTAATTCCTCTTGCATCTCCTTTATCTCTCTTGGTTCCCTCCTCCCTGCGTCTCTTGAGCCCAATTTCATTTCATCTTCCAACTTCCTATTACCTACTTTTTATTTTACTTATTTATTTTTAAAAATAAATTGGTCTTCTTATGTAAGAGAAATCATATGATATTTAAGCTTGTGTGTCTTATTTATTATACTAAGCATCACGGTCTCAAGGTGAATTCATCTTCCTACAAGTGATTCAAATTATCTTTCTTTATGACAAAGTAGAATTTCATTGTGTGTAAACAGCACATTTTCTTTATCCACTCATCTCTTGATAGACATGTGGGCTGCGTCTAAGACTTAGAATTATGAATTGTGCCCTATAAACATGAGTATATACCTATCAGTATTTAATATGATTTCTTTAATTCTTTGGGGAAACTATTTAGAAGGGGATTTTTATCAAACAGTGGATCTCCTGATCAATAATAATAATAATAATAATAATAATAATAATAATGTATGTCAAATGTAAATATCCAGATGATTAAATTGATATATAGTCTTTTAATGACAATTATCATATATTTGATTTCAGATAGCAAAACACTGAACTAACATTATCCAAATTTCATAACATATATGGTTCAAGATTAAAAGCTGAATACCTGCCATTGGTTTGATCAGGGTGCAAGGCACTTTCATGTGTTGGCTTCATTTTCAGGCGTCTAGTGAAGGTGTTAGAGTAATCCAGGTCTCCCAGTTATATATGGGTCACGGCAGAGGGAAGGACCCAAGGAGACAGATCTTGTCGCTAGGCATCACTGGCTTGCATCCCTAAATTAAATGACAGAAAGACAAGAGTGACAATTCCATTCCATCCTTCACAGACTCTAATATGAGTTCATCTGTGTAATGCTGGATTTCTCCACAAAATGGACCAGGAAATGGATGGATGGATGTTAGTTAAATAACAGTGTGCACTACAAATAAATATAGTAGAAAAGTATAATAAGAAAGTCTCTCCTAGGAAAAATGATCATTCAGTCATGCAATGTAAACATAAAATGATGTCTTATAAAGTTATGGCTAAATCCACACATGAGGAATGGGAGAATAGGCAGCGTGTGTTAGCACAGTGGCGTTAATTATCCTTACCTTCCAGAACTTGTGTACATGGACTAAGAGGACAGCAGCTTCTCTACCATCATTCCTGCTCTGCCCACTTTAGATCTTGGTCACTGTTAAAAAAAAGTTAATGCAGAATGACAAAGCCAGTTGGGATTCATTCAGCACAAGAGTGCTTCTTAGGTACAAAACACCATTCAAAACATTGTCATAGATGAAAAGATAAATAATGCTCAGCCTTTACCCTCAAGGATCTTACAAGTTGGCAAGGGAAAAAGACAGGCACAGAATGAATGCAGTGCAGGGCAGAAGGTGAGGTTGTGGGGTGCTGCCGAGAATGAGAGAGCACTGAGGGAACAGAACAGGCAGCATTGCACAGTCAGACCGGAATCCTGCTCCTGCAAGCGCTAGATGTGAAGCGAAACTGGAAGTGAAGTGCCTCTACCTGACGGTCGCCTCTCTGCTTAGTATTTTTGTCACCAACTTTCTAATAAATACACTGAAATTAAAAATTAAGTATGTAGTATTTGTCAAAAATGTGCTGAGTTTGTGGCCCTTTAAAACTAGAATCTCAGTGTCTCTGTCCACAAGTATGGCATTCTGTTGCTTAAATCTTCTTTCCCTTGATAATTATGTGATGCGACCTTAGTAGGATATGTATTATAGTTATTATACCTTATATATCTTGTCTTTTTAAATATTTTTTATTTAAAGGAAAAAAAAGAAAAAAAACAGTATAAGGGTACTAGTAATACAGAATTACAAAAAAAAACGGTAAGAAATCACTAGTTAATAGATTACATATTGTCATCTTAGAAATAGTTGTTCAAGTCACAGGATTAAAGTATACAAAGTGACATTCAAACAGTGAGACTGCAAACAGTTGTGTTCAATGATCCAACAAAAGTAATATGGTCATCTATCTTAACACACCTAAACACACTTGCAGTTGTATCCTTTAGAGCACTTTTTTTCCCTCTGTTTTTTACAATAAAATTTACACATTTTGGGTTTTATTACTCCCATAGTTCTTATTACTTTATATCTTGTCTTTTAAAGCAGAAGAGTTACAGGAGGGACTTTTATTGCTTCAAATAACAGAAAGAAAAAACTAAATAATTGGAAAAATCCAGGGGCAATTCTTTAAATATGCCTGGATCCAGGAGCTCAAATGTTTTATGCCATTTCCTTGACACCTTGACACTGTGTGTGCGTGTGTGTGCGTGCGTGCGTGTGTGTGCGCGCGCGCGTGTACACGTGCACGTGCACCTCTATGCATTTCTATTACTTTGGCATTCAAATATCCCTATGAAAGTCATTGGCACAGACTGTAAACAAGTCCACACATTACCTTTAGTGCTGTAGGAATGGCAGGAACAAAGCAAAGAGCATCATGCCATAAGATTATGCAAAGTGAGCATCTATGTAGTAAGACCACAGATGTAAAGGTGATTGATACATTGTAAGTGCAAATGGATTTACATATGAATTACAGCATAGTTTCCTGGAAGAAGACAGTAAAATATTTTGTTCTTACAAAATTACAGGAGTATAACAATTTTCCAAAAGAAACAACATGTATTGAGGAAGGAGCCCATTTTTATGATTCCTACGTGATATACCTCTCAGACAGTGGTGGCCCTTACTTGCACTCTGAGTGTCTCAGCACGAATGCAGGGATTATCCTGGAATGGTCCCTGTTGTTCTTCCATCATTAAACAAAGCACTATAGGAAGGATCAGACACTATGATTTGCCCGGATTTGATTATAGAAAGCAGGGTCAGTTCTCAAAACCACAGCATGATGCAAATCCAGAAAGAAATTAATTAACCATCCCCAGAATTAAGAGGCATAGATGTTAGCAAAAAAATAAACAACATATCCTCTACAACAGAAAATGTTTGTAATGATCTTTGGATTACTTTTTGCTAAATTCCTATACATAAAACAGCAGAGACTATTGCCCTAAAAAGAGCACCATGGCCAAGGGACATGGCCTATTTTAACACAAGATTTGAGAGCTGAAACATAACTTGAGGAGAGTCCAATTCAACCTCCAGATGGGGACACTTAAATCCAATCAGGGAAACAAAAAATGTCAAAAGCACACATGTAGTTGGTGGTACAGACAGTTAACTAAAAGCTTTATGCATTAAAAAAAACCCTGAGTAATTTTCCACCATCCATAAAAAAACTACTCTTGTTTCTTCTGTCTGTCTGTCTGTCTCTGTCTCTCTCTGTCTCTCTCTGTCTCTCTCTCTGTCTCTGTCTCTCTCTCTGTCTCTGTCTCTCTCTGTCTGTCTCTCTGTCTCTCTCTGTCTCTCTGTCTGTCTCTCTCTGTCTCTCTGTCTGTCTCTCTCTGTCTCTCTGTCTGTCTCCTCTCTCTATCTCTCTCTGTCTCTCTCTCTCTGTCTCTGTCTCTCGCTCTTTCTCTGTCTCTCTGTCTCTGTCTCTCTTTCTCTGTCTCTCTGTCTCTGTCTCTCTTTCTCTGTCTCTCTCAGTCTCTCTCTCTGTCTCTCTCTGTCTTTGTCTCTCTCTGTCTGTCTCTGTCTCTGTCTCTCTCTCTCTCTCTGTCTCTGTCTCTGTCTCTGTCTCTGTCTCTGTCTCTATGCTCCTGGAGCACTCCAACTGAGAATTTCAGCAAGGGTTGCTTTGACTTCACTGCTTCCCTGAGTCTGCTCTAATCCCAATGGAAAAAAAAAAAAAAAAAAAAAAAAACATTAGATTCCTTGATAACAGAGCTAGGGACACTTGTTGCTCTAATGGACCTAGTTTGGGGGTTGACAGCCAGGAGTACCTTTGGTAAAGACTTTTCTAATCTCTTTGGATTCTGACTTTGTCCCCAAATTTCCAGAAAAAAAAAAAAAGATTCCTAGTCAAGAGGTCTTCCTGTTCCTCTTCCTTCCTCCTATCTTCATTCTTTCCTGCTGTTTTTCTTCCTGCATAAGCCTGTCAGCCGCCCAGATGTGTTTCTGGATAGGTAGGAGGGGACCTTACACCTGCCAGGGATAGGAAAGAGTGTACTTCACTTCAGAGTTCTGAGCTGCTCCATCTCTGGTAACAAATAGGAGAAAAGCATTGAGTGGGAGGTTTCTGCCACAGATCTGTTAGCATAGTGACCAAGTAACCATCGAGGACCAAGGATGCAATGCCATTTTTAAGGTTTTTCCTAGCTTCTGCTTCCCTATGGTGTAGTCCAGTCGCTGGTCCTGAAAAAAATCTTTGCATAAAGGTTCTTTAAATCTCAAGCAGAAATCTCTCTGTCTCTGTCTCTGTTTCTCTGTCTCTGTCTCTCTCTGTCTCTGTCTCTCTCTCTGTCTCTCTCTCTCTGTCTCTCTCTCTCTCTCTCTCTCTCTCTCTCTCTCTCTCTCTCTCTCTCTCTCTCTCTGTCTCTGTGTGTAGTAAAAGCCAGTACAGACAGATCACATCAGGAGTAGACTGGGGTCCCCCCCCCCCCCGCCTTTCTGCCCGGTTTGGGCACCTCCTGACTCCCACGCGTTTTTTCCTGAGCTGGCACTCAAGGCTCAGGACCTAGGGAATGGGAACAGGCAGCACCACCATCTCATCCCAAGCTGAGGCTTCCAGTGCCAAGAGGCATTCACTGTGAGTTAGGGGTAAGAGCTCCGCCTTCTTGCGCGACCTAAAAAAAAAAATCCCTAGATTCCCTGGGGACCACGAAACTCCCTTTGCGTGGCAACCTCTCCCTCCCCAGCCGCCCACCCATTCCCCCCTTACCTCAGCACGCAGCCCCTCCTTGCGTGATGATGCAAACCAGTGGGGAGGGCGGCGCTGGGAAGGGTGGGGAGAACTGGCGAGCTAGGGAGCGAGGGAGGGAGTGGGAAGAGGAGGAGAGGCAGCAGAACGACCATTTAAAGCGATAGCAATTCCTGCCCTCTCCCCAGTGCTGGGCTGGTGGAGAGCGCAAGCAGCCAGCCGGGAAGCTGAGCACTGAGCGCCAGCCAGCGAACCCTAGAGCGCGAGGCGCCCCAGGCTGGCAGGCGCTGCGGGACACCCCCACCTCTCTGGTTGACCCTTCGCAGGCGCCCTCAGCCTCTGTGCGGGCAGAAATCCCGGGTCTTCCCCGAGGGTCTCACCTCGAGGGGCCCAGACTGGGCGGGAAACCCACCATCCTCCCTTCCGGCGCCGCAGCCACAGCCACAGCCCAGCCGGAGCAGCATGGTGCGGCTGGGGAAGCTGCTCCGCGCCCTGACTTTGATGAAGTTCCCCTGCTGCGTGCTGGAAGTGATCCTGTGCGCGCTGGCGGCTGCGGCGCGCGGCCAGGAGATGTACGCCCCGCACTCTATCCGGATCGAGGGGGACGTCACCCTTGGGGGGCTGTTCCCGGTGCACGCCAAGGGTCCCAGCGGAGTGCCCTGCGGCGACATCAAGAGGGAAAACGGGATCCACAGGCTAGAAGCGATGCTCTACGCCCTGGACCAGATCAACAGCGATCCCAACCTGCTGCCCAACGTGACGCTGGGCGCGCGGATCCTGGACACTTGTTCCAGGGACACTTACGCGCTGGAACAGTCGCTCACTTTCGTCCAGGCGCTCATCCAGAAGGACACCTCCGATGTGCGCTGCACCAACGGCGAACCCCCAGTTTTCGTCAAGCCAGAGAAAGTAGTTGGAGTCATTGGGGCTTCGGGGAGTTCGGTCTCCATCATGGTAGCCAACATCCTGAGGCTTTTCCAGGTAGGGGGGCTTCCTCCGGGGCGGAACATCCAGTGGCTCCCTGATTTGGTAACCTTCAGGCTGCCATGAACTTCAGGAGAGCAGTCAGGTCAGCCCTCCTGCTTTCTACCTGGAGGTTTCCCGAACCCCTCCAATCGGAGGAGGTTCCTTCCCCGGGTGGTTTATTTCCCTTCCATTTCTCCCTGTCCATGCTCCACTCCATCCTACTTGACATCTTGGATTTATGACCCCATTTACAAGAAGCAATCTGCGAAAAACAAGGCGATGATTTAAATAGGTTTGCATTAGAGTGAAATATGCTCCCAAAACAGGCTTGTAAAAGTGCCCAGCTTCCAGGAGAATAGGTTAGGCTCATGGATTATGAAAGATGAGATGACCCCTCAAAACTGGGTTTTTCTCAACTCCCCACATCGCTCCTAGGAGCCGCGGGAAACCTCAACTCCTTTGGAAAATGTCCAGAGGACCACAAGGAGGCACTTCTTAAAGTGAGGTCCGGGTTTTAACCTAGATCTGGACATTAGTTGTCCACCTATGGGTCGGATTTCTGAACGGTACAGCTAAGGCTGGAAGGGACCTGCACTCTGACCAGAAGGCTAAACGCTGTCTGCAGGCTTGACATCCCCCTCCCCGTATGTTTGCTCCAGGCAATCTTTTGCAAGGTCTAAATGGCATTTGCAGTCCGACCATGGGCAGCAACTGGACTCCAGTTTCTACTCTTCCCACTTCAGACCTCAGCCCAGAGATGAGCTCATGCTAACTGCGAAACAAAATCCCTTTCACTGCCACCTCCCTGCGCTGCCTGTTCACCCTTTATTTCCTTTGTGAAGCTGAGGCCCCCACCCCAAATTTCCATCGGAGCTCTGATAATAATTTTCAGGGCTAGGCGAGAAGACACTTGGGGCAGTGGGGTGCGCTGCACAGGGACCCCGCGGATCTTCTCTGGTTCTGGGTTGGGAGGGGCCAAGACAAAAGTGAGATAAAGGCGAACCCGAGGAAGCCAGGTGGGTTCCACTGCAGTGCTCTCCTGTCTCTCCCTGGCTCCCCTGCTGCACTGAATATGAATGGGGAGCTTTGGGGTTCAGCAATTTATAGGGTCTATGAAACAGTCGGTTCGCTTATTTAGGGTTGTTCTCCGTGTGTGTGTGTGTGTGTGTGTGTGTGTGTGTGTGTGTGTGTGTGTGTCTTTATGTCTCCTTTTTTCCTCCCTTTCATCTCCTACTGCCTTTTATTCTATCTTGATTCATCTCCTCTTGAGACCACCCTTTCCCAAGGAAAGACTCACTGAGACTCATCCCTAGGTGTTTAGGATGATGCTGACACCTTAGGCTACCACACCTTCAGAAGTGGTTTCCTGGCAAGAGCTTTCTCTCAGGGTTTAACTTTCAAGGAGGAAGCCTGGTGAGATTCCTCCAGTATTACTTCTGGGAGTGCAAAGTTTGTGTACTAGAAGGAGGGCTGCTCATTCAAGGTTGCAGCCTGGTATGGCCCCTCTAATGCTTTGCATATTGCTAACAGCCCTTTAGTGTGTTAGCATGGAGATCTCTAGATGTTTGCAATCCTAGAAGTGTTTTGATGATTGGTTTCATTCTGAGTTACTTGTTTTCTGGAAGAAACTGAGTTTTCCTAATCAAAATCTAGAGACATTTCCTTTCTTTTTGAGCTCCAAACTGAGGTGCTTGAGGGACACTGCTGCAGAAAGGATGAGGTCAGAGCCAGCACCTGAAAACCACTTGGGAGTTTGGGGAATTTGCAGCATTTCCCTCTGAACCCTGGGGGTGGAGTGGGAGATGCATTCTGTGTTTAGCAGGTTAAAATTATTTTGCTGCCTGTTCCTCTCTTCACTCAGAGCAGGAGCATTTCTGCAGATGAGCCTGTCTATCTTGAAAAAGAATGGAATGTTGAAGTCAAGAAAGCAATTGCAAATTAAGCACAGGAACCATGCTTGCTGAGAAAAGATTCCAGAGAAGCTGAGGCCTCCTCTCCTCTTTGAATCTGTAGCAACTTAGGAGGAAACAAATGGCTGGTTCTCCATTCCTGGAGCTGGGGAGGAGAGGAACCCAATGCCAGTGTGAGCAGTGTGGGTTGGGATAAAGCCATTCACAGAAACACTGTCATTTTCCTCTAATTTGCAAATTGCGGCTATTCGTGTTGGATTGAACAGCTGAGGGAAAGAAGAACCTCCAGTTCTCACCTGCATGTGTTCAGAAAAGGCTGATAGGAGGGATGCACCAACTTGTAGCTTGTGCTGCTGCTGGGAATGTAATGGTTGGCGTGCCATTCTGGTTAACTATTGCCCACATTCTTCCAGTGGCCTTGTTTTGTATGTGATTTTGGAAGATCCAGACATACAAGTCCAATCCCTAGTTCTCCAGCTTGTCAGTCTGCAAAACAGGAAAAGCACACAGGCCAGTTGTTCCCAGGCTTGATCAATGAGAGGGAGAGGAGAAGGAGGAGAACTGACTTTACTCTGGGATTTTAGCATTCCACTCAAGTAAAATTGTCCTATAGAAAATAAGCTTCTTCAAATCATTAAATTCTGAGCTTTTCAGTGATTTGACTTTCTTTTTTCCTTCTGGTCCCTGTGGATTTCTATAGTGATGATACCAAACTGAACACGTGAGATATATAAATGTATGGAGAGATAAGCCTCCAGCCTGGGGGAAGAAATACTAAAATGGTGGAGGAGGGGAGCGAGTGCTGGGGTTTGCAAGGCAATAATGAGATACTAATAGATGTAACCAATTCTGTCACTGCCAAGAAAGTCTGGGATGAAGTTCTTTCCTGCAATTGAGGACCTGGGCAAGAATGACTACTTAGTTGTAAATCGAGTCTTTAACTTAAAATTTTATTTTGCCTGCTGGTGTACAGGCTCCAGATAGGAGCTAAGCAACTCATTTTGTTCTGTTCTCTCCCCATGCTTAACAGGTTAGTAAATGACAGGAATCATACCCAGTGGGTCTTTCAAATCCAGGAATATGAGGCTAATGAAATTAGCATCTGGCCAGGGCTTGCCAACTAGAATTAAATCACTGCCACTGCTCTGCAATACATGTGCAGCCTCAAAGAAGCATCAGGGAGGAATTTCTGGAGATTTGTTTCTGAGCCTGTGTAAATGCTACTCTCCTAATGCTAAGAAAGATTAAAGAGAAATTAATATTACTATGAGTAACATATTTTTTGAAACATAATTACAGACTAAGGATGGCTTAACATGGAGAGCTTATGTAATATGGTGACTGAAGATAAATCTCTAATGGTCACTGTATTATAGATAATCAGATACAAGTTTTTAGTGGAAAGACATAGGAACGTTTTTACCAGAAGCTTCTCTGTTTCAGATAGAGATCAAATACTTTGGACAGTGCAAGTTACTTTGGCTACATCCTGATTGTAAATGAAAGACATTTCACCTGTAGGGACATGGTCTAGATTACAGACTTGGAATGAGATGGCATCTGTCCCACTTGCTTTTTCCCCAAAAGTAACTAGATTGAAAAAAAAAAAAAAATGTACCCTTTCTGGAGCATAAAGCAAAACTAAGAATGTAGACCTTGTAAAATAAGTGAAGTACATCTTAAAGTTGTCAGTATTTTCTCCCCATTCATTGAAACTTGAAAATAATTTATAACTTTGGGGACAATATTTTATACTTGATTTCTCTTTCATTTCTCCCTGCCCTGTCAACTCCCATTTCTTACATAATGAAATAGAACTCAGATCATAGGGTAATATGATATTACTAGAGTGGGGTGCTTTCTAACACAACTCTAACCTACACTTTTTAAGTTGCATAAATATAGGTATCATTGCCATTTGGAATAATCTCTGTAACAATCTCTGCCTCCACATTTACTGTGTTTCAGAAAACTTACCTAACAGATGGTGAGTGGGACATTTGTAAAGGGGTATTTTTTTCAAAGAGCAGAGAGGCAAGGAATGAAGATAGACGCGTACTATGTTTGAAGATGTCCTGTGTGTATTTCATGTATACACAGATCATCTAATTAGGATGTCTTGGGGAGCATTTTTTTCTTCAATAACAATTGAAATAATGATTGTGTTCAACTTCACAAACATTTTTAGTTTAACAAATTACAAGTGCTGTATTTTCTACATGCATACAGGTTGTACATTTGAGCTAAAAGACCTAAATGGGTTACATGTATGCTCTGATCTTACTCCTGTTACTTACAAGCTAACCTACTGTTAACAAATCACTGCATCTTTTTTTCTACATGTGATTTTCTCTTTTACTTGCTACAAGTGTCTCCCCTGCCCCCATATTTTTTTTTTTTTGTCTTTTTCCTTTCATCTGTACCAGGGATTGAACTCAGGACTTCCTGCTTGCAAGACAGGTGCTTATGCAGCTGAGCCCTTGC